AATAAAATATATAATATAAAAAAATATTTAAAATGAAAATAAAATATATAAAATTATAATAAAAAATAAAAATAAAATATATGACATTAAAAATATATTTAAGAAATGATATTATATAAAAATTAATAATAAAAATATAAAATATATAAAAATAAAATATATAAATTTATAATAATAAATAAAAATAAAATATATGATATTAAAAATATATTTAAGAGATGATATTATATAAAAATTAATAATAAAAAATATAAATATATTAAACTTGTATTTTAATAACTAAGGTAATTTTAAAAATTAACATTACATTGTCAACAAAGTACTTGTAAACCAAACGCTGCAATGTTATCTTCCCTACATTTTAATCAGTATTTTACTTGTATACCTAACACTGTAATGTTATGTTCCCTGCAATCAAATTGCTTGTAAGCACATTACTTATAATCACATTGCATTGTAAAGTACCAAACGCCACCCATATGTTTTTAATGATAACAAAATATTCCTCACTCATTAATGTCTAACTTCACTATTTAAGTCACATAATATAATCTTATATCCCTAACAAAGCTGTTAATTAAAAGCAAGTTAAGCATTTTGTTAAGTTCAATGAAAACTTAATCAGTTAAGAAGGAAAAAGCAAATAATGAACAAAAACAGAACTCTAGTAACTGATTATTAAGGTACCTTAATCAGTTAAGGCATGGTTGTGTTATATGTTGAAGCAAAATAAAAATATGCTAATCAGTTAAGAGGTCTGGTTAATCGGTTAAAGTACAAGCTCCTATTATCTTCAAGCACCAAAAACAAGTTTGAAAATATAATTGACCGTTGAAGGGAGCCAAAATGGAGAAGTTCAAAATTTGAAGATTTTCTAGTCAATTAAAGTTAGCTTTAAATGGTTATGGTTGAAGGAAGAAAAACTTCAATCAGTTAAGGGAAAAGCTAACCAATTAAAGGAAGACTGTTGTGAAGAGAAATGAAATAAAAAGTTTGTAATCAGTTAGAACTTGTCATAACCAGTTAGAGGAAGTGTGCTGAAGACAGAAAACTCTTACTTAGTTAGAGCCTCCTGTAATTAGTTAGAGCAAAGAACACAGCAACAGAAAAGTGCAAAGTAGAAAAGCTGTAAGCGATTAGAGTTGCTGGTAACCGATTAGCCTAAGTTTGTTTGCCTATTTGAATTTAAACACTAGAAGATAAAATAATAGCTAAAAGTGCATCAGAGTTGTTTCTAACGGCTAAAAACTATCTCCAATAGAAAAAACTGACTCCTTAAGTATAAAAAGAAGCTCTAACAATCAAAAAAAATATATTTGAAGAGAAAAAGTTACTTTGAGCAAAAAGTTAACTATTCTTCACTAAAAATACTTATTTTTCATTCTAAATCTAGAAAAAGTGTTTGAGTTTGATTGTAATCTGTCCAGACTTGTAAAGGTATTTAGTTGTACTTTTTTTTTTGAGAAATTAGAGTGTTGAAAGCACTCTAAAGCTTATTGTGAAGGATTAGAACTAGAGTTAGAAGCTCACCTTGTAAAAGCTTGGTATAAGTTGTTAATTTCATTGGTATAGTGAAATTGGATTGAAAATCTTTGATTGAAAGATCAAAGTAGTAGATGTAGATCAAGATGATTGAATCACTATAAATACTCTTCATTGTTTACTTTTCTTTATCTTTCCTTACTTAATATCTTATAATTCTAACAAATTTTAACCTTTTCATTCATCTGATTGATTAAAAATTCTGGGAACTTTAAAAGACTGAATAAAAAAATTTTAATATTATTTATCCTCTTGTAAACACTCTAACGGGATCAACATCCTGTTTTGTTCTTTAAGTAGAAAAATGGGAGGAAACAAGAAAGATAAATTAGCTACAGGGCTTTGACTTTTCTACCCACTGATCATGAATCGAAGTAAAAGCTAAAAAAAAGGACGAAAAAGATATGGGACCAATTGAATCCTAACACAAGCATGGAAGCTCCTAGAGAGAATTGCATGTCTTTGTGGTCTAAATTATGCATCGTGACAATGTGACAATGTCCAGCCTTAAACCTTACGTCCAATTTTAAATAGCTGTGAGAGAAAAGTCCGAGTCATAGGTGGTTAGGTTTGTTAGGGTGCGTTCACATGAATTTGCATAAATTGATGGGACCATGAAACTCAACACGTATTGTATCGCACTAGAGCATTGATTAGGCACATACATATTTTTTACTCAAAGACTTAGATATTTGAGTTCGAATATTGATTTTTTTAATAAAACAATTAATTATTGTATTTACATAAACTTTTGTTAAACAAAATTTTATTGAAGTATATCATATATGATTACGTGGTATTTTTTATGTTTACATATTTAATCACTTCTTTATTAGAGAAATTTAGTAAGTCATTACTTATAAGGTTTTGAATATGTTAAAAGTTTTTTTAGGTCATTAAAAGGTCATTAAAGTTATGATTTTTAGTAATCACTTGATGCACATACTAAAGTAAATAAATTTGTTACTAATATGATCCATGGATAGATAAAAAAAGTATTTATTAATTAATTAATGTTAATGATGCATTATTCTATTATCTAGTTTAATTAATTAATTAAATGAAAACTTACATACTGATTGATCAATATTACAATAATTTACGAATAAGAATTTTACTAATTCGATGATCTATAATTTACTAATAATGTGTAGAATTATACATCAATAAAACATATAATATAAACTCTTAAAATTAACGAAAAATGTTGAAGGTCAGTACCTACACATAAGTTAGGAAAGCATATACAACAAGGTCTTATGGATGTAAATCGATTAGGGCCTAATCTATGCTTTTACACGTGCACGTGTTTATTGTATATACATTATTAACATTTCCCTTATATCTGTCTTTTCAGTAACAACTCCAATTTGAAGGCAGTTGCGTTATGGTCAACCTTTCTCTCATCACAGTCCTGTAAATCATATATATATACCTAGCTACTTACGCAGGAACAGAAAGCATTTCAATTGAGAAATAATTTATATTATTAATTTTGTTGCATAAAATCACGTTAGTTTCTTTGTTATATCAGAATGGGAAGGACTCCATTCTGCATGGCAGAGGGTTTGAAGAAAAAAGCGTGGACAGCTGAAGAAGACCAGAAGCTCATAGCTTATATACAAAAACATGGCGAAGGAGGCTGGCGTTCCCTACCCGAAAAAGCTAGTTAGGTCTTTTTCTTTTTTTTTTTAATTTCATGGCTTAAGTTTTGACATCAAGTCCTTATTTTATGGAACGTGATCATGTTCTTTGTTCCAGGTCTTCAGAGATGTGGGAAGAGCTGTAGGCTTAGATGGGCAAATTATCTTAGATCTGGTATTAAGAGAAGGGACTTCACCCCCGAGGAAGATCAAACCATCATTGAACATCATGCTGCACTAGGCAACAGGTTATCCGAAAGCTTTTTAATGACAACACAAAGTATTATATTCTTATTGTACATTGACCTAAAACTGGAGATATAATGTTATTAAATGAATTCATTATTTTAACTATAGCTTTCTCTATAATATTATATATATGTACATGTGTATGTATAATTTCTTTACTTTGTCGTGCTTAATTAGTCTCCAACAAATTAAAAAAAATGAAGAGAGAGAAGATAGAGGAGCTAGAAATGGATTGTTAAAAATGATGAAATGTTGTCAAGCAGATTTTTCACTTTTTGTTTTGTATTTTTGTTTTCTCCACCTATCAAACATGCATGAGCATGACCGAAGACTGAAATCCTCGAGACTACTCCTGAATGAGCACTGAGCATGCCCTTTTTGTCCTTTAAGAGATTAATTATGGTTTAGAGAAATTAGTAGTGAACTATTGCTCTTATGGGTTCTTGTCATCAATCTCACATATGTATGTATCTTTTCGCTTAAGGTGGGCAGCAATAGCCAGGCACTTACCAAAGAGGACAGAGAATGAGATTAAGAACTATTGGAACGCTCATCTCAAGAAACGCTTAGCTACTATGAGTATAGGTTCGGTGACTCATAAGCCTGTGGGCACCACACCTGGCTTATCCAGCGGAAATTCCAACACCATAGGCAATGCGGAGCCGCCCATGGTTCATACTAAAAGTGCAACAACGCAAGAATCTGAACCAACACTGCAACAGCCGACATCAAGGTCTACCTCAGCTTCAGCTCTGCTACTTAATAAGTTAGCCTCCAGGGTCAACATGTTGCAAAGTGTTGATCTCATAAGAGCTTGTCAAATTATGCAATTGATGTCATCTAAGGGCATTGGTGATGGTGGTGCTACTGCCAACAATGAAAGTGTTATTTGCCACCCTACATCAAATTGTCAGGGAAATAATACATCAACAGCACCAGACACATCGATTGGGCTAGATATTGCTGATCTACTCACAACACCTTTAAATTGCCAAGATTTGTCAGAGATAATTTCTCCGGAGTCAGCAAAATGCAACGCTAGTGATGATGGTGGTGTTAGTGTTGATAATTATAAAATCGAAGATCCTGTAGCTGATGCATTGAGCATTCTAGATAATAATGCATCAACACCTGCAAGCTCTTTTTCAAGTACTTCGGATCGAGTTTCAAACAACATGGCTTCCAAATTCGCCTCATTGCCTTGCGTTGATGATGAAATTCACGATTGACAGAACAACCTTCCGGGACCAATTCAAGGAGACAGTGATACTACAATCACCGGAGATGACTCGGATTTCATAGAATTCTTTCCAAAATTATTGGAATTCTGACTCACAAGATTCACCTTCGAATTAGAGGGTTGAGACAATGCATCACAAGCACATGTTTTACATTCTATTTGCATATGAGTTATGAATTGTTCTATTGATAGAGACTCCATAGAATGCAAAAACTTTCTTTTGTAATTATTCCAGATGGAGGCAATTTAGAAATAATTGCACCTATTTGTAGCGCATCAAGAACCTTAACCTCAAGGTCTTTTAGTTTTGAAACTAAAACTTGTAAATCATGTACTTAATCCATGATAGGCAGATTATCACTTATCTTAAACTTGAAATATTTTAAGGACAAAAATTTGTCAGTACTTCGTCTTTTGTTTTTATGGGTATTTTCCATGGCTATCCAAATTTCATTTGGAGTCTTTAGATTGGGGTGGAGATCATATAGATGATCTATCAAACTGGTTAGGATGTGTTCATGGCATACTAATTCATTTTCGTCACGTTTTTTTTCTCTTTGCCTTTTGTGCATCAGAGTCTCTATTCATCGATTTTGGAAGTGTAGTAAGAGTCAGATGCATAACATAATAACTTTCGAGATTGTGAGCAAAAATTCATCTTATCTCTCAAGCGAGTGAAACTAGTTCCATCAAACTGATCAAGTTTAAGGAATTTTTGATTCATGAGTTGAAATCTTGAATTTGGATTAGACTCCATTGAGAACAACTCTTTAAAATTGTTAGAAAATTAGAATAAGAAAGAAGAAAAAAGCTTGAATAGTGCTGTAACACACTTTCTTTAAAGAGTTGTTGACTACTATAAGGATATGTAGACAAAGACTCTCCAAGATACTAGAAGCTTATTTCAAAATGCTTTTTTGAATGAATTCTGGCTTGGAAGTTCGTTTTTTTTATAAATAGTGAGAGGTTGTATCTATTGTTTTTCAACAAATGTGTCTTGTTAACTTTCAACAGTTGTGTCTATAAATTTTTATAGATGTGTCTATTGTATTTCAATAGACATATCTATTGAACAACTTTAAATAGTTTTATTTGTTGTAAATACTTATCTTATTTTGCATGCAAACTATCCAACACTTCTTGTTCAGTTTGAGTTTGAGAATATTCATGTAAAATTCTATAAGATGAATTGGAGTATAAACATTGTATCAGCAAGATTGATAAAAGAATTAATAGATGATCATTGAAGAAATAAAGCTTGGATTGATTGCAGATAACTTGAAGACTAAATTGGTTTATGATTATGAAGAAACAAGTCACGTGGTTTGCACATGGTCAATTAAAATAGTCACATGTGATCGACACATTCATCAATAAAAGATGAGATAGCTCTTGAGTTTATAAATAAAGATTTTCCTCCATTAAGTATGTCTTTTGAGTTCAAAACATGAGCTCATGACAAATAGTTTCATAGTAAACTTAAATCTTCGTTGATGTGGAATTCTCATGAAAGATATAAAGATTGAAGCAAACGCAAACTAGTGTAAAGGTCTATCTTCTTTATGGATAAAAAGTTAATGAGCCAATACAACGAGAGTATTACACAATTGGATGAGATAAAATGTCACGGATCACACATCTCTAAAAGAGATGGTGAGTTTTAAGTTTATAAATTAAAGTTTTCCTCTACCTATTAAGCGCATTTTAGAATCTTAACTGCAATTGGTTAGTCATCGAATGAATCAAGCATATTAAATTTGATTTTCTCTCAATTTACAAAAACTGTCACCTTTCATCTATTAATAAATCTTCCTATGTTTTTCAAAAACAAAATTACATGGCAAAAGCATTTTAGGAACAAGTAAAAATACGAAAACATGAATATTAAAGTTTTTTGGACCTGCTTGCTTTTCTTGCCAATAGTCTGGATATTATGTTATTGCTATCTAATTTTCATCTATGTTTATGTATTAAATCATAATACAAAATTAACTTTATGCTAAGCTAATACACATATACTCATAATATAGAAGGACAGTACCCGTGGCATTGTCATTATTCTCAAATTATCTTTAAACCATTGTTTTGAGCTCTTAACGTCACTATCAAACTACTTTCTTTCCAATCGAAGGGCATGTCTTTTACTCAAAAAGACAATGACTAATGCTTAGAGTTCATGTCGATGAGTTGCCTACCTTTCCTTATTCTCGTGTAAAATTTAATTTATACCTTAATATTGCCAAGAACAGCATGATTAGAGCATCAACGCAACAGAAGAACAAAATATTGAAATAAAATAAAAACCATGGCTCCTACCTTTGGATCACCATGGTTGTTTAATGTAAAGTTAAGCACCATATAAAATCAGAAAAAGTTTTACCTTTCCAAATGATATCATAATCAAATGGATTCTTTTTGATGAAAAAATTTGAACACTTTGTGTGTGAAAGAATCCCAGCCACTCAATCGCTTGGCCTTCAATATTGCACACATGATTGCAACGAATCCTTCACAAGGAGAGAGCTTTATGCTACGAGCTTATGGTAGCAACTGGACAATGATTTGTCTTCTTTTCTTCTTTGATTTCCAACAAAAAATCAAAAGAGAAGTTTTCAAAAAAAAATTCTCAAGAGTGACGGTAGTCAAGAGAAAAATCTTTTTTTTTCTCTAGAAAAGAGTAGCTATAATGTGATATTTATATCTAGGTTTAACTTATTAAAATTTGCAAAATAAG